TTTTTTTTTTTGTTTTTCTGCGTTGCTCACACACACACACTTAACGCGACAGATATCTCCCACCCGAAGCGTCAATCGCGATTTCGACTCCCATCGCCCTCAAAGCACATTATTCTCTGTCACCCCAAATATGACGATTGTCAGTCCCCCGGCTGAACTCGTCAGTCATGTGTTGGAGGCAGTGTCGTTCTCAGGCCCCCTGGGCGCGTCGCTAGCCGACATGTGGGCCACCGTCCTCCCCAAGCTCGGCGTCGACGCCGTCTCCGATGATACCAAACAAATGATCTGGCAGTGGCTCTTTTTCAGCGACGAAGACGTGCAATTGTATCTTGTCGATGCCGAAGGTACCGTGCTCCACATCATGCCTCAATATGCTCAACAATTGAGTGGCATTGGCGGTAATGTTTCTGCCACCGATGCCGAGTCATTAATCCGGGTATTGCCGACAGCCGAGACTCAATGGCGTTACTTAACCGGTTTACGTCCCAGTAAGAAGATCAGAGGCCACATGGGCGAGAAACCCTACGAGTTATTGATGACTATTGCCGCCCATGGTCCCGAAGGTATTTCGTCTCTGGACCTCTGTAAAGAGACGGGCCAAGATCCTCGGTCACTTCCGGTACGGTTTAAAAAGCTCACCGATATGGGGCTCATCATTCGCCGTCGCTTTTACGAGCTGAAGTCTCGCCAACAGACTAACGTGTGTATCCATACCAAATTTGTCCCCCAGAAGATGGAAGAGACGATGAAACTGGAAGACGCGTTGCGTGAACGCAATAGTAAAAAGTTCAAAGAGCTTCTTATTGAGAAGCTCCGCATCGCCCCGAACAAAATCAGAGGGTTCCGTGACCTTAAATTGGAACTAGGCATGACGGAACTGATTGGCCTCCAGAAGTTTTTCGGGTCCAACGTCAACTACTTGACCCAGCGAGGGTATATCGAAAAGTGTGTTGTGGAAATTGACTCGGGCGTGGAAGGCGACGACACTTCTCGTCAATTATACTGCTTGCGGTTATTAAAAGAATTGCCCAAATCCGATACCTACGATATTGACTTTGAGGATGACGTAGTGGAAGAGGACGAAGAAGCGTTGGGTGTCGACGAACAGCTCTCGACTCCCCCCGTGCTTCCGCGGATTAACCATGTGTACCCGATATGCAGTCAAATCTACCACCAGATCGAGAAAAGCCACAGCACGGGGGTCCCCGCCAAGGAGGTGATCCGTACCCTCATGGGCCAGCTGCTGTTCCGTCCATTAGCCCGGTTGTTGGACCTGTTTAGTGGCTATGTCATCGATGAAAAGCAGGTGCTTTCGCCGCTTAAACCCCACCCAGACGACCCTTATGACGACCACGCGGTGGTGAGAACCTACGATTTTGATGGGAAATTTAAGTTCTACCGCTACTACACAATGCCCCAGTACCCGGATAAACCCAAGTCAGTGAAGCCGTATAAGAAAGTATCGGCAAAGATCGCCAATCAGGAACGACCAGTGAAGCTTAAGGGGCTGTTGGCCGATATCGAGAAGCGGCTTGCCGGTGGGTTATCTAAAGCTCCCGGCGGCGAATTTGTGGTGGCGAAACGGCGGGGTCGTCCTCCTAAGGACCCGCTGGCCCCACCTAAACCGTCACAAAAACGAGCGAAACTGGAACCGGGCGACCCCCCGAGAAAACGTGGTCGTCCTCGCAAACACCCCGTTGTTGAAGACCTGATTATCGACGTTAGTGACCCGGTAACTACCGCTCCCCTTGACGAAGCGTGGCAACAAGCCGAACAAGCAGCAGCGGCTGCGGTTGCTATTAACAACGCCGAGGAAGAAGAGGACGTGCTCACCCCTCGTCGCCGCAAACGCACCAACCGCATCGACACTCTGCTCCTCGTGATGGACGATGACGACGACGACTCTAAACATGAAGAGTACGTCGACGGTAACGATGATGTCTTGGACGATGACGACGATAAAATGGATGTTGATGACGATGACGACGACGATGATGATTTGATTGAGGAATCATTTAAGGCCAAGCCAAAACCTAAAGTAAAGGCACCGCCAGCTAGGCTGTCAGCTAAGTCATCATCAACTAAGTCTCCAACAAAGACTCCGGCTAAGGAAGAGTCACCGGATATTGAGATCAGAAAAGTCACTGGGTTTTTGCCTCAAGTGGATGCCAAGTCACTCAAAGCGTTTAAGAAATCGTCGGGTGAAACCTCACAGATCAGAAAACACGCCCCCGCCATGGCCGGCTCGCTTCGTGGGGTGAAACGGCAACAGGCGTTACTTGATTTGATCCGCGAACGCGGGGGGGCTGAGTACACCAGTGCCAAATTGCGTCGGGACTTGGACGAAAGGCTTGAGCTGACGACGATGATTGATAACAAGACGATTGCCCGGGATATCTCGGTGCTTATTACCAGTGGCAAGTTAACCGCTGAAGACATTTTGGTGGGGCTGACGGGAGGTAGAATCAAGCGTAAGCTTTTGGTTCTCGTCGACGGGCGGCCGCTGGAAGCAGTCCTTGAAGAAGTGAGAGAACGAGGGTCTCGTGCCTATGGGCATGGCAAACTTAAACATATGGAGCGGCAAGTGGTGAAACAGGAAGTGAAGTTGTTTACCAATGAAGAGGCGTCAAGAGTGCACATGCAACGCGAAAGACAGCGGGCACTCGTCGAGCAACGCCGCATCACTAGCGAGAAGCGTGAAAGTCGTCTTGAAGCACTCAAATCACGCAAAGGTGCTGCTGCCGCCGCCAAGGCTCGGGACCCTGCCAATGCCTCCGGTTCTTCGGCTAATTCTAAGGCTGGTCGGTCATCGCTGGGTAAACCGAAGGTGCGTACGGAACGCGCGGCTCGCCGTCGCGTCAATATCCCCCGAGACGAAGCCAACGTGTTGTATCGGGCGGTGGTGGCGTGCCGGTCGCTCTTACCGTGGGGGATCGACTTTGATGCTATTGCCCAGGTGTTTGCTGGCCACTCCGTCATCACCAACGCCGAGCTGGCGAAGCTGGTGTGGAACAAAGTGCGGGTCCAGTTTGGCGGGTTGAAAGCGGTGATGAAGGGACAGGAAGAGTTTCAACGGATCCTCCTCGACCGCATCCAGGAAGGGGTAGTTACCACTGAGGATTTGGAATTGGGGGTGAAAAACTTACAGTTTTTCCTCGACGTGTGGAACGATCTGATCACGGGGGCCCAGGAAGCCGACGACGACGTGCTTGACGAGTCCATGCCGTTATTCGCCACCTTCGACGAGAACAGTAAGCTGTATGCGCTCATGCGTACTCCGGGGCAAAATAAGGACGTGGTTGACTTATTGGAGGATACCCTGAGACCGCAAAAGGAACACTTTTTGGCCAGCCACCCCTTCGTGGTGACTAAAGCTCGTCCCATCGTGCCTGACCCTGACGAAGCGGTGAGAACGGCGATTAAGGCGATCTATACGGTACCCGAAGCCAACTACGACCAGTACGCGGCGAAGAAAGTGCTTAATAACGTCAGTGAAGACCGTCTTAAACGGGTTACAGAAAAGATGATCGAAGAGAAAGAGTTGATTTTCCACGAAGACCCTAACGCCATCGTTAAATTCCACTTAACCGATAGAGTGAGGGCCCCCGTCCTGTTGAAGTATATGGACGCCGAGATGCTTCGCGACGCCACCGACTTCGCCGAGGCCGCTCGCCTGGTGTTTGACGGCGAGAACGGCCTCTTGTTGTCGCAAGCAATCAAAAACGGCCACATGATCGCGGCGCTTTCGTGGGCTCTGAATCACGACGTCAGCCTCATCCACGTCGACCAGGAGTACACCTTTTCCGGCTACGAGCTGCGTAGTATCGATAAGCTGAACTTGGAGTGTGACTTGGTGATGTTGGCGAGAGACCCTCCCCAGACCGATGCCGTGCGCTACGTCCCCGTACCCACGGGTCCGGTGGGGCTGCACATTTGGCTTGACCTTCAGGGTAATGTCAAGAGCAGCTTGTGGCGGCAGATCGTCACTGCTGTTGTCTACTACGTGTGCTTCCGTCCCGGGGTGCTCCCGCCAGCGCTCTTCGCCAAGCTTCAGCCGTTATTGGGGTACAAGGACTTCTTTGACGTGATGCACTGGTTGGAACAAAGTCAAGTGGTGGAACAAGGAAAGTTCGGAGGGTACTGGTTGAAGCCAATGTGGTACTCGCTCTTGGGGAGCCACCGGTCGTAGCGACCATGATCATTATCAAATTTAATTGTTTATGCATACGTTAATGGATCGTAGCTGATACATTCGTCCTCAACAAGGATATTATTATTGCACGTGGTAAACCTCTTATATTCTAGTTATCACCCACAGCTATTTTCGATATCATGGTGCGACAAAGCAGAACTCACTGGCCACTCCAGCGCCGACAATGATCATGGGCATACCAATTGACCAGAGATGGAAAAACTACCAATGAACAACACCATCAATGAGCGAACTATTTGAAACGATTTCTGCATGCTCGACTTAACGGGTGCTACTGGTCTCAGAAGTGGATGGCATCCAAGCTTGCTCTAGTATTCAGATCAACTCTGCTAACGTCGATGCCGACGATGTGATTTTGTCTTTGGGGGCATAAGACATCAGAAACATTTTGAACCAGCTGACATCGGGCGATATCCAAGGGTTCACCAATGGTATAATGCTACAGTTGATTATTGCTGATACATCAATTCATACACATAGAGGGGCCTACTTTCTTTGGCCGTACGACTTGGTGGCGTAGTCACCGTTGATGACAATGACGTCCTGAGGACGGTAGTCGTGCTTACCGGTGAAGTACGCCGTCAAGATCTGCTTGACGCCGTCGGCGTATCTCTTTTGAGCATCCAACGACGTCCCCGAGATGTGAGGGGTCATGGCGTTGCCCCCGTGCCACGAGTTGTCCATCGATCTCCACGGGTGGTTGTCGGGAGCCGGTTGCACGTTCCACACGTCACCACCGTAGCCAGCAATGGTACCGTTCTTGACGGCTTCGGCGACGTCCTCGGCGACACAGATCGCCCCGCGAGCAGTGTTGACCAAGTAAGCGGTGGGCTTCATCTTCGAGATCAACTGCTTGTTGAACAACCCTTTGGATTGAGCATGCAAGGGACAGTTGATGGTGACGATATCGGCTTCGGCGACCATGTCCTCCAAGTTTTCCACCCGTTCGACGATGTTGTCGGTGCCGTTGAACAACTTCGACGCCTGGTTCAACTTGTCGACGGCTTCTTGAGGGAGAGGCTGGTAGTCGTAGTACAACAACTTCTTCGGGTTGAACGCCACCAAGCGTTCGAGGACGCGGTAGCCGATTCTCCCGGCGCCCACGGTGGCCACCACCTTGCCTTCCAAGTCGTACTCGTGCTTGGCACAGGCGGCGATGTCCCAGCCACCCCCGACGGCCATCTGGTGGGAGGGGATGAAGTTTCGGATGAACACCAAAATGGTCATCATCACGTGCTCGGCCACCGATTGCACGTTGGAGCCGGTGACTTCAAGCACGGAGATGTTGCGCTTGTTGGCGGCGTCCAAGTCGACGTGGTCGGAGCCGACACCGGCGGTGATGCACATCTTGAGCTTGGGCGCCTTGGCAATTCTCGACGCGGTGACGTAGGCCGGGTAGAACGGCGTGGTGATGATGATCTCGGTGTCGGCCAACTCCTTGTCCACCTGCGAAGTGGGTTCGGGGTCCTTGTTGGTGGTGGTCACCAACTCGTACCCGGCGTCCTCGACAAGCTTGCGGATGCCCAACTCGTTCTCAATGCACCCCAACAATCTCGGTTCCTCCTTGGCGGAGTCCTTGCCCTCGTAGAGAACCAATAAAACCTTGCCCTTAGCCATTGTTGTTGTTGTAGTAGTAGTAGTTGTTTGTGATGAGGAAATAGAGGGAGTAATTGAAGTGGTTTATATAGTTTTTTTGGCATCCGAGCCATTTTCTTTCGGGTATTAAATACCTATTTGTGTGGGGTCAGTGTCGCCAGTTCTCAGGGGATGATGCACTGGTAATTTCATTGTAGTTAGTCGCCAGAAGGAGATTTAAAAACCACGCGGAAAAACAAGGGGGTAGACCCTTGTCAATGGCGAAAATTAGTGGTAAATTATTGGTAAATTAGGGTTATATTGATGGTAAAAGATGGTAGAGTCCACCGATCACGGAGTGTTGGCATTTGAGCCCAGGCTACCGACTCCGTGGGAACCATAATTGTCGCAATTATTCGCTCACGAAATCTGGGGTAGTGAGGGGTACGGGCGACGCACGCTGAGGTAATCGCACCGCGAGATCAGGAGGGACAAATACGAATACGGTGAGCCGCGCCATTTTACTCCGAGGCATTTTACACCACCATAAACCATTGATATTGGTGATCCTCAGATTATTCTTGGCAGATTGACGGTTATTTTCGAGATCACAGCTGCGTTTTTTGGCTCATTTGTCTACCCCCTATTTGAACTATGGTGCCACATGTTAGGTGCAGTACAAACCACCACACAAACTGCCGTAAACTATCACGGATAGTGCCATCAGATCACCAATAATGCTCTATAGAAGTCACCAAATACCAAATATTGGTAGCCATCAGATCGCTACCTGAGAATCGGCGACGATGGAAGAGAACGTCAACCCCTCGTACAGCCGTGAAGCTCCTCTCCACGAAGAAACAAACGACAATGACCACGAAGCTGACAACAACAAACACCTCTGGACTACGCGTGCAGCGGCAGCAGAAAACTCCGTCGATATTCTCGACCTGGTCACCATTACTGACGCTGAGCGGTTCCACCTGATCTCCCGTCATTTCGCCGACCCTTTGGTATTCGAACCCAAACACCTGCCGACACCGCTGTCTACTCCTGGGTCGTTCTTTGAACAATGGTTCCAAGCTGACCCGGCTAACGCTGAAGCGTTCTCTTCGCCTGCCTCCCAACAAGCTGGACAGGCCAGGACTGCTAGAGCCACCCTCGACATCTACTCGCCGTTAAATTGGGATACGCCGACACCAGTGGGACGTGTGCCAATATCATCGTTTGGAGAACACCGGCATCAGTCGCCGCCGTCGCTGCCTTTAGTACCGTCAGCTCCAGTGCAACAGACTCACCCAGTGCAGAGATTGTGGGCGCCGTCACCGCCATCACTGGACACACGCCAGGATACGCCAATCCCCACGGTTTCTTCCGTGTTTGGCGGTGTGGGTCAGGTCTCGCAATCGACGTTTACCTCGCCGCAATTACCTAAAGTAAAGGAAGAACCAGAGGAGGAACCAAACGACTTTCAGGTCTACGAATCTCATCTGCCCCTGGATGAATTACAGGTCCCGGTTTCTCAACCACCTAAGCCCTCTATCCTGGCTCACCGCCCTAAGGAGCCCACGCCCCAATTACCGACTCCGGGGGTGTCTACCACCTTAAACAAAGGCTCTCTGGTTGAGACCGGTACAACTCGAGGCAATCGCTTGAGAAACCTAGTGCTTGCGAAGATCCCCAAGCCATACAAGTGTCCCCTGCCCCGCTGCGGCGTGAACCACGAGTATGCTAAAATCTCTCATTTCCGCCGACACTTGTATACCCATTTCGAGTTTGCTACCCTTAAGGTTACTCGGTTGACTCACTTGCTGCTGATGGATGACTCTGTCGGTGTCTGTGAGTGTGGGCTTTACCTTACGGGACTCGACTGGCTCGCCCATATTTTCAGTGGGTGCTCAGTATACACGCCGGTGATGGTAAAATCTGAAGCAAAACTGCCATCCTCCACCTGAAACCCTGATTACAAAGTGGTCCTTAACTCCAATCAGGCTGGCTTTCATTTTTGGCAACGTTGCAATTTGTCTCACCCAGAGTAAAAGCTGAGAAAATATGCCATACTCTGCCGAACCATAACCTGTTAATATAAACACACGACAACCCCCTTTAAACAGTTTCTTAGATCATGATCTACGCATTAGTGGCCATTGCCTTGGCCATCATCTGCGACTGCTGGTACTTCCCTCGACCTCCACTAGCCAATGTCCCCACTTTCTACGGGTGGCCTCCATTTGGCACGCTTTTCTGGCTCCAAAAGAACCCGGCGAAGACTTTGCAAAAATGGGCTAAACACCACGGGTTAATCCAAGTTAAAGTTGGGTTCCTGTGGATTGTGGTGGCGTTGACCGACGAGGAAGTGCACCGGTTGTGGGTATCCAATGCCTCCAAGCTGAACCTGAGATGGCTGCTGCCGGTGTTCTCGTCGGTGCTGATGGTTCCCGGGTTTACGGTGGGGTCGACACCTCATAGTACCGAGCTTAGTGCTACTAAGCGTCACTTTGAGCTGATTTTACACGCCATTGCCGTCAGTTCTCCTCAATTTGTCGATGTTGTCACCGCTGAAACCAATAAATTGGTTGGGCAATTGATGGAATACGTTGATGACGATGTGGATCCGTTATTGTTGTTCAAACGGTGGCACCTTCGCATCGTGCTTGCCCTTGGCTACGGCATCGATGCCGATACCAAGTTTCCCGGGTTGATTGACGACATCATCACCACTGAACAGGCGATCATGAGGATCCGGGCCCCGTTGCTGTGGCGTAACTGGTTCCCCGGATCGCAAGCGGCGAGATGGATCCAACGGAGAGGGAAGTATATGGACATGCTTATGAAGGATATGCTTCTCCACGTCAATGAGAGATCGGACTCGGTGGTGGGCCAGTTGCTCGACCGGAATTTAAGCATGGCCCAAGTGTCTAGCTGTTGTCTTCTGTTAGTGAGTGCCGGGCTTGATAACACTCCGCTTTTGATGTGCCACTTATTGGGACAAATGGGGTACCATCGGCAATGGCAGGCCCGGGCCTACGACGAGATTTCAAGCAAAATCAGTGGGGTGAGAGACTACCGCCAAGGGGTGGTGGTAATGGCGTTGATCCAGGAAACCCTCAGACTGTTTTCCGTGCTTCCGTTAGCGTTACCTCGGCAAACTACGGGGCCTATTGGCAGGATCCCGCCAAACACGAAATTGTTGATGAACGCCTACACTGCCAACCACGACCGCAAGCGCTACGCCAATGCCGATGAATTCGACCCTCAGAGGTGGCTCGACGACGCCAGCTTGCGTCACTACGGGTTCGGCACGGGGCTGAGAAGCTGTCTGGGTAAAATCATGGCGTCGAGAATGATGTGGTGGGCCACGGTGAGAGTGTTGGATACGTTCGCAATTGACCACCCTCACGATACTAAGTTCAAAATGGGGTTGGATCCGTTTGCCACCAACGCCTCCCCCAGTGCTACGTCATTTGAGCCGTACCCATTCAAAGTACATCTTACGCCGAGATCAAACGAAAACGCCCCAATGGAGCCGTGCGTAATCGCGGGGAACAAAGCAATGTCGCCGAACCTGTGACGTAGGCTTATGACGCAGTGATAACAAATAAATTAATACATCTGATTTGACCGTAATTTGATCCACCCCATTTGTAGTATAGCTTAACTGGTGGGTGTCGGTGTGCTTGCCATGGTTGTATTGCTTCCCATACGGCTTCATCCTTCCCGTTTGCGCTCGGAAAAACATGTGCGGGCCAAGGCGCGGTCTAGGCCTCCTTTGCTGGATTAGGGCAAAGACGCGCTAGCAAACACCCTCCCGCAACCGTGCCTTCGCCTGCTGTAAAAGACGAGTGTGGAAAGAGGTATAGGTGGCGTGGTAACAGTTTTGAAACATTGGGTCAACATTTATACAGAGCACCGGCATGGACTACTACCCATTGTCTTCCTGTGATTCTCCCCCTCCTTCGTATTAGCGCCGTTTTGTTGGCAAGAAAAGTTTTGCCGACGTCATGCAGGTTTCGCCGAATTTCGCCGCGATGCCACGGCACGTCCCCGGAAGGTACGGCACAGCTTTATCGGCGAATCCAGCCAAACGGGAGACTATAACCGGTCTGGGGTCAACTACCAAACACACTAGCATCACAGACAGTAACCACTGAGGCGATCTGATCCAATTGTTACTGCAATAACTCGGTAGTGTTGTGGCCATATTCAGCGGTCAATGTACAACTTCGCCGAGCCTGCACACAGTGGCGCGACCCCGCCGGCCTGCACATAACCTTGCCAACCATCACACTAGCTCAACGCCCTACATATACCGCCCCCCATGCCCGCCGAAGACGCCCAAATACCGCTTCTCCTGCCGATGTCTCGCGACCTACGGTCCCCGCTGCCCCCTCCCAGCACCGACGCTCTGGACGTAAAGGCGTTCGAGGCCACCAGCGTCGTCGACGTCCCCTCGCTGGTGCTGCTGGCGGAACCCGCCGCCACCGCCATCCCCAGCCCCAGTTACATGGTGGCGTTGCTTGCGGTGTGTGCTCTGATCCTGGGGTTCATGTTTGGCTACGATACCGGTTACATTTCGGCGGCGTTGGTGCAAGTGAAGGACGACTTGTCCCACCGCTACCTCACCAATGGCGATAAAGAATTCATCACGCTGGCGACGCTGTTGGGAGCGCTTTTGGGCGCCGTGCTAGGCGGGATGCTGGCCAATGCCATTGGTCGCCGCGGCGTTCTCTTAGTGCTGAACGTGATCTTTGTCGTTGGTACCATTATTCAGTTAGCGGCGAAAACGGTGTGGACGATGATTGCTGGCCGGTTTGTCATGGGGTGGGGTGTGGGCTGTGCCCTGCTTATCGCCCCGTTGATGATCTCGGAGCTAGCCCCCGCCAAGTACCGGGGTCGGCTTATTGTCGTCAACGGGATCATGATCACTGGTGGTCAATTAGTGGCCTATTTCATCAACTGGGGGCTCGAGTCGGTCAAACACGGGTGGCGCGTGTCGGTGGGGTTGTGTATGGTCCCCGCGGTGACCCAGTTTGTCCTCTTTTGGTTCCTTCCCGATACCCCCCGGTTCTACGTCATGAACCATAACCTCGACAAAGCCAAGCAAGTGATGCGCAAAATCTACAAGAACCCCACCGAGGCGTTCGTCGAAGCCCAAGTCAACGAGATGGTGGCGCTGAACTCGAAAGTACCGGGGGATAACCCCTGGCAACAGGCGTGGAACTCGGTGCGCATCGTCCACACCAACCCGGCCAACTTCCGCGCCCTCATCCTCGCCTGTGGCTTACAGGGCATCCAGCAATTTACTGGGTTCAATTCGTTGATGTATTTCTCCACCACCATCTTCGAAGCCCTCGGGTTCGATAACCCCACCGCGACGTCAATCATCATCGCCGCCACCAACTTTGTGTTCACTATCGTTGCCATGTGCATCATCGACATTGTTGGTCGGCGCCGGATCCTCCTCTGGGCGCTTCCCATCATGATGGCGGCGATGATTGTCAGTGCCATTGCCTACCACTATATTGGCATCTCCTTCCACGACGATGCCGTCGATATCGCCGCGGGTAATATCCATGGTTGGGGCATCGTCATCATCATGATGATGGTGATGTTTGCCGGCTCCTACGCCATCGGTATCGGCACTTCGGCTTGGACAGGTGTCGAGTTATTCTCCGACGTCAATGTCCGTTCGGTAGGGGGTATGTACGCCACCTGTACCAACTGGGCGGGGTCGTTGGTGATTGCGCTGACGTTCTTGACGATGTTGGTCAACATTACTCCCACGGGGACCTACGCCTTATTTGCAGCGTTGTGCGCGGTGTCGTTTTTGTTCATCTTCTTCTTGTACCCGGAAACCGCCGGGTTGGAGTTGGAAGAAACGTCGTCGTTGTTACAAGACGGCTTCGGGGTTAAAAAAGCCCGCCAGTTGCGCAAACAACGCCGCCGCCAACGCCAAAATACCCACGATAATGCTTAACGAATTTTTACGACTTAAAGACATAATAAACGCCATTAGATGAATGTCCTAAACTAGCGTAGTGGGAGAGCGGTATGATCACTCAAACTTGATTGTAGCAGTGAACTTGGCTAAGATCTGTCCCCTCTTGTTAGAGTTACTAAACCGACCTAAGTGTGTTACAACCAGTTGAGCTTAAAGGTTATGTGCCTACTTGAGACTATTCTTTTGTTCTGGAACTCTACGAAGGTTTGTAGGGACTGTGATTCATGCGATTCACTCAATACGCTCAGCTTCACTCCAGACATGACTGTTGAGTCTTCATTTGTGGCCATGCGATTGGCTAAGTAGAGCAGGCTGGCAATCACAGACAAGTAAACGCTTGTGTGGGTGATCCTAGAGAGGGGGAGGTACTGTCCTATTGCGATGGATGCATGAGGTAAGTTCTCAATGTCTATCCAAACCTTTTCGCCCCCCAATTGTCACTTCTTTGAAGCTGTGTGTGCTCACAATGTACCCCTACTATCAAAGGGAATGCACTCTATTCCTTAGAACTAGGCTACAAAAGATGCTACCTCGAAACTGGTTCATTTGTAGAGCACAGCCGAGGGCGGACCCAAATATCTTCCCACTTCCCTCAAACTCTTAGTCGACGAGGAAAGTTCACCACTGATACGAAAAAAATAATTAAGGCGATCCCCCTCAACTATTTTTAACTTTTGAAATTAGTATTGCTCTCACTTCCAGTCAAGGTGGTAACTGTAGTCCCTACAGTCTCTATACTGAAATCGTAAGATCACGCTGAGGGGTATATAATCGCGGGGTCCACCCCACCCCCTATCACACACCTTAGAACCTCACCATGTTGTCCACTTTGCTCGTTATCGCCTTGTCGTCGTTTGCCAGAGCCGCCACCACCATCACCCAGGAGTTTGTCGTGGAAGACTCTCCCTCTCCGACGGTCGCGGCGGAAGCCGTCACGGCGTTGGTGACGGGGGTCAACACCGCCTCCCCCGTTGAGCTGCCCAACACCGAAGCAGCCACTGACGACGCTACTCCTAACGTGACGCAAACGTTGGTGACCATTCAGACGTCGCCCAACCATGGCGATGGTGGCGTGGGTGATGGCCTCCTCGACACTCGCACCGGCCTCGTTACCGGCGTCGGAACTGGTGCCGGTAACTACACGCGCACCGACATTATCGGTAACGGCACCCGCACCGACACTGTCGTTACCGACACCGTCAACGGCAACCACACCCGTACCGACATTATTGGTGGCGGCGACAGAACCACCGAGACCGACACCATGCCCGGCACCGAAACCGACACCAGATTGCCTCCCGGGGCCACCGGTCCCGGCAACGCCACCACCGGCACAGCCACCGGAACCGCCAGACCCAACGGCACCAACGGCACCGCTACCGGCGCCGGTAACTTTGTCTACGGGGCCGACGCCATGGTGGGAGCGATCGCCGCCGGCGCCATTGCTTTGCTTTTGTAACCAAATAGCTACCAGCTAATTAATGTGATGTTTTCTAGTAACTACTTATCACTTATAAAACTGTCTATTTCAAGGCCTATGGTGGAGTCGCGCTTGAAAAATTGGAGCTTACCCAACACTTTTCCAAACAGACGCTACTCCCCGAAAGCTTATTGTGACCAGTTCTATCTCTCCTTTGACCATTGCAATTTCTAGTAATTCAATTCCCATTTCATATTTCATTCCTTCCATTTCTGTGCCTGCCAATTTACTGTGTTTTCGTCGTCATTTATTGCGACTGAGTCATTCATCATTACCACCACCACCACACACCCCTCCCCCGACCAACGCCTCCCAATGACCCAGCTACGACAACGACAGGTGCAACCAATCACCGCCACCGAGCGGATGAGCCGCCTCAAGGAGTACACCGTGTACTCAAAGCTTGGCCAGGGCACGTTCGGCGTGGTGCAAAAAGCTAAAGACTCCAAAGGGAGAATGGTCGCTTTAAAGCAGTTGTTGAACCACAGCGCCAAGGAAGGGTTCCCCATCACCGCCATGCGCGAGATCACCATCTTGAAACGGCTAGACCACGTCAACGTCCTCAAGATCATCGACATGATCTACGATGAGCCCAAGGTGCTGAACCCGCTGGAATTGGTGACCACTCGCGGCTGCTTCTACACGGTGCTGCCCTACATGCTGAGCGACCTCGTTGGGCTATTGGAAAACCCTAAAGTCCACCTCGAATTGCCCCATATCAAGTGTATCCTCAAACAACTACTTTGTGGCGTCGACTACCTCCACCACCAGCACTTCCTCCACCGTGACATCAAAGCAGCTAATATTTTGCTTGACGACCACGGGGTGGTGAAAATCGCCGATTTTGGTCTTGCTCGTACTTACCACGGCAAACCTCCGGGGGTTGGTACTGGTCCTGGCGGCGGCGAACGCGCCTATACTGGTCTTGTGATGACTCGATGGTACCGAGCCCCGGAGTTATTGCTTGGTGAAGTTAAGTATACTACGGCGGTGGACATGTGGGGCGTCGGGTGTGTATTTGGCGAGTTGTTCACCCACAAGCCGATACTTGTCGGTAAGCTGGACGCCCACCAAGTACAATTGGTATTCCAGCTCTGCGGACCGCCTACGGACTGGAGCGGGGCGGTAAAGCTCCCTAACACTGCTGGCTACAACGTGGGGCTCACGTGTAAGCGGACACTTGAGGCCCGCTTCGACAAGCTTATGCCGCCGGATGGGGTCGAGCTTTTGAGCCAGATGCTTAAACTTGACCCCCATAAGCGGATAACCGCCCGGGAGGCGTTATCGCACAAGTTCTTTACTACGGAGCCGGCGGTGATCGAGCCGCACCAGCTCCCTAAGTTTGAGGAGTGTCATGAGATTGATAAAGAGCGGTTTAAGAAGATGGCTCGGGCGCCTACCGTCACCAGCTACAAGCCGTTAAAACCTCAACCAACCACCTGGGGAGTGGCGGCGGCGATCGCCCGCGATACCCCGACCCCCGAGCCGACACCGCTTAAGTCGATGCCGCCGTCAGAACCGCGAGAGATGAGAGGGTCGCTGTGGGGGGCCGACGGGCCTTCACGAAAAGCTACGCCGGAGATCCGCAAACGAACTCCTGAAGTTAGTGAGGGTAACTCTCGCGATTACCAGGCAAAACCGCTGGCACCACTGACAGAGGCGCTGGGGATCTTTATGAGCCGCAAACGGCGGGTGCCGCCGCCGGCTCCTGCTGCTAAGCGAGCCAAACCGCCACTGGAAGCGTCGTCAAAAGACAACAAGTCCCCAACTACTAAAGACGGTGACGACTCCGAAGACATTGACCTCGACGATGAGGATGCGATGGCAAAGATCTTGGACAGCTAAGCATCGAATACGACAATCAATCTATAGTGTTTACCACACTCGCTACTGAGAATGAGTTGATATACGATACGCTCGGCGGCTAATACCACACACTAATAGAGTACAAAAATAGCATTGACGCGACCATGGCCTGAGCCACGACAAGTGGCTTGGTTAGACGATAGCGATAGCCCTAATTGATGATGATCGTCCAATGAATCAATGACACGATAATCTAGGCTGACGAGTAGACCCATTGACGATTATTCCTGTCAATTGTGAACGTAAACATTGACTACCGGTGGACCCCACTCGCCTCGCTACCCCTCTCCCACAAATGCCTCAAGGGAAAACTGGCACAATCAGCAGGAACGCGAAATAGGGTAGTCTTCGGAGAGTGGCTCCAGACAATTCAACGGGCCAAGCGAAACGCCTATAGCCGCTAAATACCTCACTGGTAAAAGGCCGTGGTTAACTAACGGATAATCACCCCCGAGAGGCTACCGTGGGTCATCATCCGGTAACTGGCACGGCTCCATTCTGTCTAGTGTCTATAGCTATGTTTCCAATTTCTAGCTAAAGCCTGTAAAGCAGCCTTAGCGGCTAGTGGGGGCTGGCGGGTCACATGGGTCTACCTGTTTTTTTTTTTTCGCAACCCCACGCTGGCCCCGCTGTCGGCTCCGAACGGGGTCGCACTCTACTCGCGGTGACCGAGGCCTCAGTGTGGAGGAGGGGTCGTGCCAGCGAGGGAGGGAAAAAAAAACGGCTCACGGACAGCCGCAACCGACAAAGGCGGGGAGAGTTGTTCCGAACTTTCAGCGCCACAAGCGGGGCAATGCCACGGGGAAAACGCCTCAATTGGCCCCCCTTTAACCCTACAATATATACCTAAACACGTGGACCAAACATACGCTGTTTGGTTCTAACATCAACGCCCAAGCGTATGTTTGGTTACTGCTGTCAGTGTCTCCACATCTGTCTCGCGCACGGTTGTTTACGGACGCATTGCGATGAATCATATGCATCCGTCGACCCGAAGATGACTACCAATGCCGCGAATCGGCACCACCAATATGGAGACGATACCCCGTTAGTAATGAGCAAACCCGCTAGATAAACCCAATGACACATACACCTAGACACACCGTTTATATATATGCCACCAATTCAACCGTTTCTCTCCCTGTGGCGCCACCACGCTCCCATCTCATAAATATGTCGAGGAGTCACCCTCCTGCAAGGGTGAAAAATTCGCAGAGAGGGGCCACGAGTATAAAAGCGTCCTCGACCGCCCTCCCCTGCCCCACGTCTCTTTTCCCCCTTCCCCATGTACAGACACAGCGTTCGTCGCCAATTCGCCACTGCTAGCGTCCTCAGAGAATGGCACCAGATCCCCTTGGCCCCCCCCGACAAGATCTTGGGGATCACCGAGGCGTTCAAGGAAGACAAGAACCCCAACAAGATCAACTTGGGTGTCGGCGCCTACCGCGACAACACCGGTAAGCCCATCATCTTCCCCGCGGTGAAGAAGGCCGAGAAGAAGCTCTACGACAACGAGAAGGAAAAGGAGTACACCGCCATCACCGGGTCCAAGAACTTCCAGGATATCGTCAAGAACTTCATCTTCAACAACTCCAACAAGGACCCCAACGGGAAGAAGTTGATTGACGAAGGCAGAATCGTCACCGCCCAGACGATCTCCGGTACCGGGTCGTTGAGAGTGATTGCCGACTTCATCGCGCGCTTCTACAACTCGAAGAAGATCTATGTCCCCAAACCCACCTGGGCCAACCACGTCGCCGTGTTTACCGACGCTGGGCTCCAACCCGAGTACTACGCTTACTACGACACTTCCAAGAACGACTTGGACTTCGCCAACTTGAAGCTGTCCCTCCAAAAGGCCGACGACGGCTCCGTGGTGCTTTTGCACGCGTGCTGCCACAACCCCACCGGTATGGACTTGACCGGTGACCAGTGGGAACAAGTGCTCGAAATCATCCAGCAAAAGAAGTTGTTCCCCTTGATCGACATGGCCTACCAAGGGTTCGCTTCGGGCTCCCCCTACGAAGACATCTCGCTCATCCGCCGCATGACCGAGTTGGCCGTCGAGAACAAGATCCCCACCTTCGCTCTCTGCCAGTCGTTCGCCAAGAACATGGGCTTGTACGGTGAACGTACCGGTTCCATCTCCATCATCACCGAGCTGGCCGACCAGCTGAAGGCGATCGAATCGCAGTTGAAGAAGTTGATCCGCCCCATCTACTCGTCGCCCCCGATCCACGGGTCGAAGATCGTCGAAACTATCTTCAACGAAGGGTTGTTGGACGAATGGTTGGCCGATTTGGACAAGGTCGTTGGCCGGTTGAACACCATCAGACAAAAGTTGTACGACAACTTGGACAAGCTGAACTACAACTGGGACCACTTGCTCAAGCAGAGAGGGATGTTTGTCTACACCGGGTTGAACCCCGAGCAGATGAAGCGGTTGAGAGACGAGTTCTCCGTCTACGCCACCGACGACGGGAGATTCTCCATCTCGGGGATCAACGACGCCAACGTCGAGTACTTGGCCGACGCCATCAACCAGGTGATCAAAAAGTAATACTAATGATAATGACGAAAAGAATGTACGCCACCATCGTAACCATCGTAATCGCTACACCTCTATATATCTGGAATCGCCGCGGTGATGGCCACGGCAATGCCGCCGGTAGCGGCTCATCTCCGTCTGCCCGATGCACACGCATTATGCTAATCTTCGCTTACTCAAACCCCGATAAAAAAAAGCACACACAAATGGTGAATGCAGTCACAAAATCAATGAATACAGCGATACGCCTCGTAATTGATGTATGGCAATGATTTCGTTTCAAAACCAGTACGAGTAATTTAGAATATCACCTATCTGATCAATACCAATCGTATATGGATTCAATGGCAAGTAAATTCCAAGAAACATGGACATTTATTTCTCCGATTTTTTTTGTCATTTTAGCCCTAACTATTGGCGATCGCGCTAACTTCGAGTATATTTGGACAGAGTCAGAAAAATGGACTCGAATCATCAATGCTCACCAGTCCTACCTTTTCTCGTCGTCTATTATAAACTTAACTCGCTAAACCGTAAAAATAATACCCAATAAACCCAAAGTAATAACACCTGATACTCATCACACCATCTTGATACCCGTGATCTCGAGATCGTCCAAGTCGTCGGTCGACTTGATCTCCAACCCGTGTTCGTTCGCCAAATGGAGCATGCAAATGAAGTAGAAACTGGTGGACAAGTCCTTGCGTGATTCCGGGTCGTACATGTTCGCCACCTTGTCCACCAAAGTGTTGAACCGCAACGGCTTGTCCAATATCGGCGGGGGGTTGACGTCCTCCAGATGCGCTCGCGGCGGCGTCAGCGGCACCGCCTCGGTCTTCATCCCGTACCAGATGTTGTCCTTCAATTGCTTGATATCCACCCGCTTCGCCACCCGTGAAAACGTAATCATGTCTCGCTTACGACGCGTGATCGGATTAATGTGTTCGTCTTGTTTATCGGGTTCCAGCGCTCCCGCCAACACATCGTTGAAGTCGATACCGTCGTCAAAGTCGTGGTTGTAGTCTTCGTATTCCGCCTGGTGGAACAGCGCCGCAAGCTGTCGCTCACGATCCTCTTCCTCCTGTCGCTGGGCTTCGTATTGCTCAGCAAAGTACCGCTCGTCGGTGAGTACGGGTTCCAGGCTGCGGTTGGGACGGTTACGACCAAAACGAATCAGCATCTGCGGCTTGGTAAACAAGTTGGTGAGCCGCTGGGAGTTGTAGCGAATATCATTAGGCAACAACGTGTCGGTGGCGTGGAGAGGCATTTTCGGCCGCGGGGTTTGTCGAGGCGGACGGAACAATTCGTCTTCGTCGGGCTCAGGCCCAAAGAAGTCAATCATCAGCGGCTTCGGCGGTTGACGCTTGGGAACGGGAGTTACGCCCCGAGACCCTGGCGTCAGCTCCGTTGTAGGTTGAGTCTTTTGAGCCGCTTTTCTCCGGGCTTCGTTGATTAGGGCCACTTTCCAGTGTTCGGGACCCCGCCAGTTAGCATTCAAACGCTCGTCAAAGTAAACCATCAAGTCGCGATCCTCAACACCAGCACTCTTCGACAGCACCACCCCTTGGTAGTTGGGCTCTTCCGGTTCCTTGAAGAGCACATCGAGGGCGTCACCTAACCCTTCATCGTCAAACGCGTCCTGGTGCGGCTCATCGTCGTGGAACCCCGCGTCGTCGAAGCCAGCGTAGTCGTCGCCACCTTGGCCTTCAAGGTCATTGGCCAAAGGTTCGGGGGCCGCCGGAGGTCTCTCAAGGTTCACCGTAAGGTTAGCGGCTTCGATCTTGTCGTTAAACGCCAGAAGAATCAGCTTTGCCCGACTGAAATCGTCAATCGCCTGCTTAAATTCACCGAACGAGGGGCAAAGTGTAAGCTCGTCCAAGTCGCCGTTCTTAAAGAGAATCTGCTTGAGTCGGTCGACACCTTGGGGGTCAAGCGGAGGGTCCTCGGCGTCAGGCATCTCCTCGTCTTCAGGCTCTTCACCAACGACATCGGCAGACTGCTCGTCTTCTTTCGACAGCGTGGCGGAAAACACCACTCGACCGTGCTTATCGATCGACAACGTATTGAGTAAAAGCGACTTAGCCCCACCTTCGTCAAATTCGGCGAGGGCTTTCTTGAACAACGGATCAATGCTCAATTCCTGCTCGAGCTTCTTCACCCTGATGGCATCAAAATCCTTTACCAACGTCGGCCCTTTATCCTTTTTCTTTTGAGGTCTTTTCTTAGCTTCATCGGTGTTTTCATCGGCATCTTCGTCATCACTGCCATCAGCGTCGTCTTCATCTTGAGGCATGGGCTTCTTAGCGAGACCACTAAGCAATTTACCCGTTTCGAACGCTGCAGAATCGACACGACTGGTATAGATCTTCATACACCCGTCCAACGTGGCACTGGCCTTCTGGAAGTTGACGCGGTTGCCATCGTCCATAATCACGTTCATATCGCTGAAATACTCAATCAAACCCAAACTCCAAGTGTTCTTCAGGTTGATCTTGTTATCGGTGGCCATACGGATCCATTCTTCGAAGTTGTGGAGGATAGCATTGCGGTTTTCTTGGAAATGGATATTGTCAAATGAGTCGTCAAAATCATCACTGTTATTGCTTATAAGCAGCGCCACCCGCCGTTGGGGGATACCTCCCGAAGCACCCACCATCCCGGGACGTTGCGGAGCACTCCCCACCAGGCTGAGGACGCGTGAACGCTGTTGTCCCGTCAGCCCCAGTGGCGCCCGGCTGCCCAGCCACCCGCCGCTGCTGTGGCCCAGCACCACACGTTGAGCCTGCGGGGTGACGGGCGCGGCATTGTTGTTGTTCCCCTGGTTATTTCGTCTCCGGGGAAGCACGTTCATTGGGGTATTAAGGGGGTATATGGGGGGTCGGGTGGGGGTGTATGGTAAAAGA